AAAAAAAAAAAACCTTTGCTAGCTAGCTCCTTGTTGGCTTGACGAGTTCTTGAGCGGTCATGGAAAAGAGTAAGTCTTTGCCTTACTATCTCGCTTCGTATGTAGATGCCCGGCTCGATTTTGAAGATCGGGCCAAGTCATTTAGCTTCAACGGGCCAGGTGCCTGTAATCCAGAGGTCGAGAGGAGGAAAAGGGTGGCGGGATACAACAAGTACGCTAAAGGAGGTAAAGTGAAATCGTCGTTAAAGAACAGCTTTAAGTGGATCAAGAGCAAGTTGAAAGACAAGTACTTTCAATATTGAAGTTTTACTTTGATGATGGAAGTAAAATAAACTTGTAATCGTATTGTGAAGTATTATCTTGATTCTCCTTGGTTTATATGAACTATGAAGTGACTTGTGCATATTTCTTGAGGGTGTAATTTATTTTTCAATCAATTGGAATTCGTTTGCCTGCTAAAATTTTAGTTCAAAGTTATATGTGCAAACTCGATATTTGGTTTGTGTTCAGCATGCGTCCAACTTGTTATAAATTCAAATAATTCGGCCTTTATCTCGCCCGATGTGATTTAGCGTACTTCTACTCCTTTTTTTTTTTAAATAAAGTAGTGAATCAAATTTGATGTCTGCCAATATAGCAATACGCTTCTAAAAATAGGCCAATATAATGGGTCAAAAATGAAATTTTATGGACAAAAGAATTGAACTTAAATTTTGACTTTCTATAAAACCAATCCTATAACCCTTAATTAGTTAGCACATAAATTCTATGGAGCCATCGGATAACTCCTTTATGAAGTCATCGGATGGCTCTCTTGTGAAGCCATCGATACTTTATGTACTGACGCACGTCCAATGTCGTTTACGCAGGACACGTATCAATACACCGTTTGTAAATAACTATGGATAGCTCTATAAACCGAGTCATCCGATGGCTCCTAGCAAACCCGCTCATTAGCAGCATTTTAGTTGATGACAGTGTTGCTCGTTTCGCTTATAGTTGTTTTATGCGAATTAGTTGTTTTGTTTCACTCGTTTAGTTTCTAGTTGTTTTTATGTGTATTTAGTTGGGTTTTTTTTTATGTGTATTTAGTTGGTGGCAAAAAGGAGAGGCTGAAGGCAAAGATTAGAAAGAATGGCTGTTCCTCTAGGTGGCATCATTTGAAACTTAAAATAAAAAAAGATTTGCCACCAACCTAAAACTTCTCCATAAATAGGTACAGACAGGCATTTTAAAATAAATACATATGCAATAACATTTTCCTGTATTAGTTAAGTTGTGGTCTGATGGTGGTTTGAGTGTTGTATGTGTGTTTTTAAAGGACATTCGATTTCATCGGTTTTGCTATGAAGCCAACAGTTGACTCCATAGTGGAGCCAACTTTCTATATACAACAAATAAATCTACCATATCAATAAATTATATTAGTGTTATTTAAGTAATTAGTGAATATGGTAGGTTTACTTATTGTATATAGAAGGTTGGCTCGATTATGGAGCCAACTGTTAGCTTCATAGCAAAACCGTCGATTTCAGTTTATCTTTGTAAACGAAAGAATAAAACAAAACGGGCAGCGTGCCCGAACAAATGCGCGCGCATTTAGCCATTTGAAGTTTAATAAAGACTCTTAAATACAAAATAGTCCACCACCAGAGAAGGATAAAACCAAGACAAGATTAATCAAATCAATCGAACTTATATAGAAATCGAAAACACGTCCTGTTATCCAACGACAAATAAGGAATCATTACGAGAGAACAGTAGGATTAAAAGAAAAAAAAAATATCAACACAAACATGAGACTTGAGAGACCCAAGAACCGAAATATCCACGGATAGACCAGACAAACCTCGTTTGGGCACAAACCTTGCGGCACATTTGTTGATCGACCAAAGCTAAAGCTCACCAAACACCCACAAATTCCCACATTGCTTTCCTAAAATTCCGCAATCCACTCCCCCACCAACAGTGCTTCTTAGATCCCAGAACGCAGATTTGCTTCTAATATGGAGAATCATGGGAAGGGCTATCTGCATGCATATCCATTGAAGTGTCGTTAGAACTCGGCGGATTTGGATTGTTGTTATTCTCCTGAACCCGAGTGGAGGAATTATTTGCATATTGGCCGTTTTGTGAAAGATGATAGTTCTGTAGGCTCCGGCGGACAGGACTCGATAGGGCGTTCGAGAAAACAGAGCTGTTCTTGGACTGGTCGGTGTTGTTTCCCCCCGAACGTAATCCCTGTGAGACATTTGTGGGACCAAACGAGTTGGAAGATATTGGAATTACCGCGTGAGTCGATTGAGTAGGATTCTGTGTTGGTTGCTGTTGTTGCTGCTCCTCTATTGCACAATCGAGTTCATTCTGCAGGCCAAGTTCATCATAAGAACACAAGAGGCTTCAGCAATTTTGCATACTACCATATGAATGCAAAACATAATTTGAACTAAGATCAACAGAAACTCAAGAGACTCGCTTTGAACAACTTTTCCCACTAGGTTGAGAGAAAGAGAATGAGCAAAACAATGCATGGGAGCTCAACAGGTATGCAAGTTCTACCAAAAAGCTAATAAGTACAAAATAAAGTTATATAAACTCCAACCCAACTCGTATGGCTTCCCTTCTGGAGAATTCTTGCTTGCACAAAAGAAAAAAAAAAGGAACTGGAGGCCAAAAGATCTAACTAGAGGACAAATGAATAAACATGAAACCGACTAGATATGTACTTTCTAAGTATGCACATGTTGTTATACTGTCGGCCCAAACAGCGTTTAGGAATCTCTCAAGTTCACTGAAAAACTATTTTCCTAAACTCCCCAAACCAGAAACCATCTAAATTTTAGTTAAGGGAAAAATCTTGCTTATCCATGGCCACAGTAGTTTTAAAGAGGTGAAACAAGCACCAAGGATCCTGAAGTAGGTGAATATGTATACTCAATCACCAGTAAATTGAATGTATTTATCGACGACGATTACAAGTTCATCTAAAAACTCTGTGAATATGTATACTCTGAGACTAATGTTAAGTTCACTCCAAATGAGATTATGCTATACTTCTGGTTGTGAGTGATCACATAACAATAAAATTTATTCCACTTGTAGAGATCTCATTAATCACAACTGAAAAAGCACAAATGGTGAGTTTCGTGAACATTACAAATTCCCATTTGGATTTACATTCTGAGAGAACCATATGTGACGTAAAAGTACCCACAACATTGTTTCCTATCAAGAATTTTATAGCCCAGTTAAAATACAAGTGTGAATTCCTCATAAAACGGAAATCACAACTACCAACACGAGAATTGTAAAATCACATAAAACCGACGATATAGAACAAGAACAAATTCCCAGATCAATGCATATAGATCAGAGAATTGTCAGATAAAGAATCACACACAGAGTATGCTTGCATTTAATTAACAACAATGATCCATATCAAAAACAATTTCTTTCTTAATCAAGAATCAAAATTTAATTCATAAAGATGAAAGACCTGCACATAGGCAACTATGTCACCAGGCGTCACTCGAACACCATCTTCTTGCTGCCTCAAAATCCAACTATAAAGCTTCTCCTACGATAAGTGGAAAACAGAATTAGAACAGTCCTGGATAAACTTAAAAATTACAAAACTCAAAACTTCAAGTTTTGCTCAATTTGAGTTTGCACTATATACCGGATTCTCCCATACAACAGTGAAATCAAAATAAGGGCCGACTGAAAATTGATTACAGAAAACATTACATGATATTATGATCGATATCAAACATTGTACACAAATATGAGCGCAATATCTCACTCATCATCCAATTCAGATAAACTTACCTAGTCACATCAGCTCGTCCAAAAAATACCATCAGCCTTCGCCCAAAATAACAAAAAACAAGAACATATCTTGAAAACAGCATAAAAATAAATCAAAATCACAGATAAAACCGCAAAAATCAACCTAATTATTCCACCCCATTCTCAGACTAATTGAAGAAACTATATTTGCGCCCAAATCAACCAAACCCCAACCAAAAATCGAGCAGAAAACGAAGCATAGGGTACACAATTCGCCACACAAACAACTCAAAAATCAAACGAACCATCGCGTGTCGTTCACCGGCCTGGAAGGATAGCCGCTGCTGGTTCATGGCCTGAGAGTACAGCTGAGATAGATTATTGGCGGCGCTGCAGAAAGCAGTGTATATCCCTCGATCCACCTCATCGAGCCGCGTCGCATCCGATTTCCTCTTCTTCGCCATCCGAGGAAATCCTTCGATTAAATTAAGTTTTAATTTTTCTGAAATTTCTACAAAACCCTAGATTGCTTTAGGAAATGCACCGCATACAAATAGAAGAAAAATAGGCAAGGTTGGGTTGGGTTGGGTTGGGTGGGCTTGTGTGTGTGTGCCTCTCCAGTGTATGGCGTGGTTTTCAATTCCATAGCCACAATGGGAAGAAAAATGTGCGCTTTTGGTATGCCACTATTATGATAGGTGGTCATGCGATTTTGATATTCATACTTTCAATTGTCAACGAGTCGAGCCGAGTCGAACATAACATTGTTCTTATCGAATTAGACTTGATGTATTTGATTGTTGCTTGAGTTTTTGTACGATTTTTTGCTCGGAAGACGACTAGGATAAGTTCAAATATAGTTCGAGTTCACCTTGAACTTTCAATAAAAAAGGTAGGTTGGGAGCATTTAGGTAATTTTGTGTATATTCGGATAGTTCTATGAGCAATCAAGCTTGCAAAATGCAAAGTAGAGCTCGAGTCAATTTTGAATTCGAGGTGATCACTTTTATTAGACTATAAGTTTTTGAATTGCAAGTTACATCTTGAGCAAAATTTATGTTTTCGTCCTAATTGAAAAAAAAAAATTGAATGAGTTTATGATGTAGCTACCTCAATCGATATGTGTGGGGTCCGGTTTCGGATGTTGACCCAGTTATCAGCTCATGGTAGTTCGATTAGGGGTGTTGAGAGGTCATTGGAGATAATGACTGAGCTCTACTTAGGTCACTCGAATCTTATTAAGCTTTAAATAGTAAGGTGTATCACGAGATGTATGTTTCAATGACGGATCTAAAGAGTGGAATCTCATGTTTTGGAGACGAGGATAAAGGTATAGTTAAACAAAAAATAAAAATAAAACAATCAACATATTTGGGAGGATCTCACCCGGATTTGGTGGGATGTTAAGCATATTACAAACTTAGAAGCAAAATAATCTACCTCTATGAATATATCCAAACATCGTATGAAAGTATTTAAAATTATGCCAAAAATACATTCAGATAACATTGTTGATACCTTTTTCTTAAATAAGTGTTAAGTAAAAACACGTAACTCTTAGATAATATTTAATTTACCAAGTACTACAAAAAGAGTAAAAATAAATAACACGCTCATTTTAAAAGTGTTATCTTACACTTGTATATATTATTATTACTTGATCTCATACCTACACGTTTCGCACTCCAATCCAATATAATAAAACAAAAATACACATAACACTCTTCGTACAAATTGAGAAGAACAAAAACGATAACTCTAAGAAAGCCTTTACGGTAAAATTTTGTTCCTCAATTGGGCAGAATGAGGAGGCAAAGGGCAATGAGAACAACGTGAAGCTTCCTAGAGAATTTTTGGTTGTTGTACTTTGGTTCGTATTATGTTTAGATGATCCCTGATTAGTTTTTCAACTTAGTGAAGAATTCACAATCACAAATTGTGCATATAGGGTAGGATAGTGTGGAGAGTCGGTTGATTTCATTTTTACTTTATGTTTTTTAGCTCACAGTTAGAGCTGTAAACGACCCGAGCCGAGCTTGAGCTTAAGGTACTCGAGCTCGAGCTCTTAACGAGCCAAGACGAGCTCGGCTCGTTAAGTAAATGAGTCAAAATTCGAGCTCGAGTTCGAGTCTTAACGAGCCGATATCGAGCTTTAATGAGCCGAACTATAAAAAATTATATAAAAACTCTACTATCCAGCCTTAACGAGCCATATTGGCTCGTTAACTATTGGAGCTTTAAATGAACTCGAGCTCGGCTCGTTAAGGCCTTGAACTCGAACTGAGCTCGAGCCTTGACCAGCCGAGCCAAGCCAGACTCGTTTAATTTAACACCATACTCACAATGTTGCATGTGTTTGGTATTATTTGAGTCTGCTATCTGTGAGATGTTTATGAGTTTCGGAGCAAAATAATCCTACAACGATCCTACAACTACATGGTTATGTTAATAAAAGAACATAATAATCTTCCAAACTACTAGAACATTTAAAATTATGATTATGTAAATAAAAGAACATAATAAATGAAGTATTTTGTTATGATCTTGCCATTTTTGATTTTATTTGTATTTTTTTCTGTAAATAAGAGATGAAGGAGGGAGGTGAAGAAGATGATTGAGGGAAAGAGTAGAGAGAGATACGAGGGATTGAAGAGAGAGAGAGAGAGAGAGAGTAAGTTTGTTGCAACTGAGTGATTAATTCCCTCATACACAATATTCAGCTATATAAGAGCATCTCCAAAAGACTTCTTATTTTAGACTTCTTATTTAGATAAATAAGAAGTCATCATATATCCATTTGCTTCCTATTTTCTGTTGTTCTCCAAGAGTCTCAATTTGAATATGAATCAGGCCCACAAATCTATCTAAAAGCCCACTTGAAGCCCACTTGATATTGTAATTGTTAACGATTATAATAGTAATTAACTAATTTTATAATATTCACTATTTTTTAATTATTATAATTAGTAATTTATTATTAATTATTTTTTATAATTTTTCCTTTATTAATATAATATTATTTCTTTTTAGATTATTATTATTATTATACTAATTGT